AACTTTCAAACATACATTTGGTTAAATTCTATTAAAAAATTTATCAAATTATATATTTAATAAACTACCTAATCAAACATACCTTAGGTTAAATTCTATTCATTTATAAATCAAATAATAAAAATTATTTGACTAAACTAGGTTAAATTCTATTCATTTATAAATCAAATAATAAAAATTATTTGACTAAACTAAATGAACTATCGATTTAAACTTGATCTAATATATAAACAAATTAAAAATTATTTGACTAAACTAAATGAACTATCGATTTAAACTTGATCTAATATATAAACAAATAATAACCAAATATTTATAAACAACTATACTTAATAAACCACGATACTTAATTTATAACAGAATATTAAAATTATTTGTAGAAAAATACTTAATTTTAGTAACATGTTCAATATTTGCGGAATACATGTTAATATTCGTGCTTTGCACGGGTCTAAATACTAGTAATTTAGTATAATGGTGTATTCGGAACGGTGCAAATTTTTTACCTCCTCTACATCCTAAATTAAAAATCAAATTATACTGTGAAGATAGACTTTATCAATTCCTTTTCCCTTCATTATTTTACGTCTCATTTAATACGCGAGCATCATTTAATATGCGAGAATGAAATCAAGTGAGAATGGAATGAATATAGGAATGGAATTGAATGGAATTGTTGTGGGAATGAAATGTTTATTCAGATTCTTATGTTTTGGTGTAATTAAAGAATTAAGCAGGTATATTTTTAAGAAGGGTGTATTCGAAATTTGTTTTATTATTTTTATTCTTTTTGAACAGTAATATCAATTCATTAATAACTCATTAAGAATAACAATTCTCATGTTAAGCGGAAATCGATGAGAAGTGAGAATGATATTTCTAGTATCTAAACTCATTATGTTTGGTAAGCATGAATGAGAAGTTGGAGTTGCATTTCATCCCTACTTATTCTCGTGTACCGAACGAGGCGTTAGGGAGATTATTGGTTGAGAATTGTTAATTCTAACATGGTTTCTTTTTTTGGATCTTAATTTAGGATATTATTCATTTTGGACTAGGGTTTAATTTTGAATTTAATATGTTATTGGTTTAGGACTAAGATTTTAAATTAAATTTAATGCATTATTTTTTTAGGACTAGAATTTAGATTTGAATTTAAGGTGTTATTGGTGGTGTAAGATTATTATTGGGATTAAGATTTCAATATCTGCACTTTATTCCACCTCTATAGTTCTCAATAATAAATTTTCTAGGAAAAGTCCCAAGTTGTTGATGCTCGTTATCACACAATCAATCGGGGTCATTTTCTGCTGGTCGGGGGCTAGGTCGTCACACTGATGGTGAAGAAGAATCAAATGAAGAATGGGTCGACTCCTCCTCTGACTTTTATACTAAGCCCTTGCCTTTGAGGATTTGTTTCCGCTGCAATGACAAGAACAAAAGATCCATGAGAGGGCGGGTACCTGGTTCCCCCGTGATACCTCATACGATCAAGTTAATTGATGAACTAATTGAGTGGAGATTGAGGGAAAGTACGAGAACCATTGAGGTACTTTTTCAGAGACTTTTAGTTCTTTCTCTTTTTGAGAAGGACTGTTGTCTTGTTCTTGGTGTAGTTGTTGATAGTCCTTAGTTTAGTTACATCTCTCCTCTGTTGTTGTTTTCCCTTCCTTTTATATGCATAAGGGTGGTTCACGAAGTGGGTTGACCGATTGTTAAGTTGTCTTCTTGCTTTACAAGTGCCAGCCTGCCACTAGGAGGGAAGTCATTTCGAAGATTAAGGGCATGTCCCTATGAATTCCGGGAAGTGACTTACCAGGGAAGAGTTGGACATGCTATCAGTCTCGTCATCCGCCTCTTTACAGATGTCGGCCTGTTATTGGGAAGAAAGTCATTCCGGAGATTAGAGAGGTTGTCCCCGTGAATTTCGGGAAGTGACTTATCAAGGAGGGATTGATCAGCCTGACTGCTTCGATAAAAGTGCTAAAACATCTTTTGTAAAGAGTCAAATTTGATATCATCTTCTTGACTGAGGTGGCCATCTTCTGATTAATCATCATGTCCTTGAGATTGACAAGGGTTCTTGGACCGAGCGACTAATTGAGAGAATTAGACAAGTTGACTCCTAGAGATTTGTTCCTTTGTGTGGGTCGACTCATCCCGCCTTTCGAGTCGACATTGATGAATGTCGATTGTCGAGCTGATAGAGTCGTTGGGACGAATCCCAGAGTGTCGTCCTCACAAGAGAGGTCGGCTCATCTCGCCTTTAGAGTCGTCATTGATGAATGTCGTCTTGATGAGTCGGCAGAATGAGTCTTCGTCTGATCTTTATTCATTAGTTATACTTGCCCTGCTGGTATAATTGAGTTTTTTATCCTCTCCTTTCTCTTCTATCTTTAATTCACTCAAAGTATTTCGTAGAGTTTAGTAATTGAGTTTTTTATCCTCTCCATTCTCTTTTATTTTTAATTCACATCTCCAATTTTTTTGAGTTTTTTTCTCCTCTCCTTTATCTTCTATTTTTAATTCACATCTACAATTTTTTTTGCAAATTTATCAGGACCAGTTGCTCAAAACCTATGTAAGATCATCTAAAATTATCAGGGTCAGTTGCAACATAAAATGCTAATTTCTTCATTTTGAATACCAAATTACACCCTCTGAACATCCAAGTTTATCCAAGTTATTTGTATCATAAGCTAACACCTATAAATGAACAAATAAAATAAATAAATAAAATTAAAGAGATGAGAATTCTTACCTTCACATTTGTAGTTTTCTTGGAAACAATTTCAGAAGCTTAATTTTGGTGTAGAGGAGAAGAAAAATAGTATACTGGTTGGTTGTGGGTAAGAAGGAAAAACCACTTTGTAGGAGCATGGGTGTGGAGTTGAAGGAAAACTTGGTCGGGTGAAAGGAAAATATGAAGATGTGGTTATTTCTGTAGTTGGTTATTTAAACATGGGCATATAAACATTGTTAATTAAAAAAGCTTATGTTATTGTTCGTTATAATTTTTTTGTTATTCTCTTTTAGTAATAAGGAAGTAGCTTAACTTTCCCTTTTCATTTTTTCCCTTACCGTCCATCTAAACTCCTGATCATCATAATAAGGATGTGTTTGGATTTCAATGAGGTTAAGGGAAGCTAAGGGAAACTATGTGAGAGAATGGAAGGGAAGGGAATGGAGTTCCCTCCCCCTTGGTTACACTTTTGGTTACACCCTAATTTTGGGGTAACAAAATTTATACTATTTAGGGAGTGAACCAAGGGGAACTAGGGTGAATAACTTCACCTCCTAAATGTTCCCAAACAAACGGTGTGTTTGGATTTCAATGGGGGTTAAGGGAAGTTAAGGGAAACTAGGTGAGAGAATGGAAGAGAAGGAAATGAAGTTCTCTTCCCATTGGTTACACCCCAATTTAGGGTAACAAATTTTATACTATTAGGTGGTGAACCAAGAAGAACTAGAGTGAATAACTTCACCTCCTAAATATTAAATTCCGCTAACTTTCCTCCTCCCTTAGAGCATCTCCAACAGCTTCCCCATCTTCTTGAAATACTCAATTTTGAGGAATATAGAGCTTTTTTTTTGATCCAACAGATTCCTCATCTCATTCCCCAAAATAGGGAATGAGGAAAAAAAATAGGGAGCCTTCCCCAAATCTACAGCATTCTCTAAATTTCTGGGGAGAGCTTTATTGTTATAATAAATGCGATTTTTTAAAATGGAGAAACTGTTGGAGTTGGAGAAAAAATAATTTGAAGAATATGACATTTATTTCTCAATTTTAGAGAAAATTTTGGAAAAACTGTTGGAGATGCTCTTATTCCCCACTCCAAACAACCCCTAAGGGCCTGTTTGGATTCGTAGGGGGTGAAGGGAAGTTAAGGGAAACTGAGTGAAGGGAAGGGAAGGGAAAGGAAGGGAAGGGAAGGGAATTCCCTTCCCCTTGGTTACACCCCAATTTGAGGGGTAACAATTTTTATACTATTAGGGGGTGAACCAAGGTGAATGGAGGTGAATTAACTTCACCTCCTAAGTGTTCTCAAACAAGGTGAATGAAGGTGAATGGTTCCCCTAACGCCTCGTTTGGTACGCGGGAATGGACAGATTTGGGAATGGAATGGAAGAAGGAATGGAATGGATTGCATGTGGGAATGGAATGGTCATTCTCATTCTCTTGTTTGGGTGCGTTCGTAGAATGAAGCTAGAATGGAAATCTCACTCCCATTCCCATGTTTGGTATCACTAGTACACAAGTGAGAATAAAATCTCATTTTCTAATAATGCCATTACAACAACATAGATTTTTAATAAGATAAAAAATAAACATTAATGATAATAACTAAATAATTTTATATACGCATATGTTATATTAATCTAGGTATGTGTTATACTAATGCTCGTGTTATCCATCAGGTGTATGTTTCGTTTATATTTTTTAAACAATACTCGCTATTTCTTAGTCTTAAAAATTAAAGAAAAAAAAGATTATCGTATCTTTCATAGGTCCAAAAAAAAGAATGATATCCACAATCCACAGTTCTAGATATATAAATTAACTTATTTGATAAAGTATCAAAATCACTCAATTCATAATAGCAAAAATCCATAAAACAATACCAACTAAAATAATAAGTTTCGAAATAGCAAAATGATATACTAGACTAAATTGTCAATCTAAAATTGCCCACTTGCATAGCGGCTCACCCAAACATTCTTTATTATTAATATGGATCGATATAATTGAAAAATACCTAACTAGTTTTTGATTCTCACTTGAATGGGAATGCCCATTCCTTATCTTCTCACTTGGAATGCCCATTCCCACAAATATAGGGAATGGTCATTCCAACATCTAAAATATATGTGTGTTTGGTATGAGGGAATGGGAAGTGGGAATTGCATTCCATTCCTCCTCATTCCTCCTCATTCCTGCGTACCAAACGAGGCGTAAAAGGAAACAAAATGGCAATTCCGCTATTTTGCGAGAAATTCGCGGCCTTTTTACCGGTGAGTTCGAACGAGCGATAGTTCCGCTCTCTTGCTTCCCCCTTCCCTCGCTATCCGAGGACAACTCCTCCTTCCTCCATCTCCAAAGAGAAATCGCAAAAAGGGATCAATTTTCTGAAAGAGAAATCAGAAAAAAAGGGGAAGAAGAAAAAACAACGGAAGAAGAAGAAGAGAAGAAAGGAAAAAAAGGAAAAAAAAAAGAGAACGAATAAAACCTCACCGCTTTGGCGATGCAGCGATCGCCGATGAGAAGCACTGCCCCCGGATTCACCACTATAAATACCCCGCACTCTCACATTCTCTTCCTCGCTCCCTTCATTTTCGATCTCCCCCATCTTTTCTGTACCTCGCAGATTTCTAGGGTTTCTGAGATGATCTCTGTGATCCACAAAATAAATAACGACAGCCTGCGATTAGGCTATCTTTCTTTCAAATTCCCTTCCATTTCGCCCTTGTTGTCGGATTTCTAGGGTTCGAAGAGTTACGATGAGTCTCAAGAAAGGCTCTGCGGTTTGGGTGGAAGATAAAGGTCGCCTGTGGGAGGAAGCTGAGGTGATTGATATCAAGGATCAGATTGCCGTTGTCGAGATTTCTAACGGAAAGAAGGTAACTCTTCAACTGAGGTATTATTGATGATTTTTGTGCAATTTGTGGTACTTTTATAATTTTGGGAACACTTGTGCTCATTGAAGATTAAGACTGAAGTGGAGAGGTTGTTGCTGAGAGATCCTGATGCTGATTATGCGGGAGTTGACGACATGACGAAATTGACTTACCTTAATGAGCCTGGAGTGCTTTATAATCTCGAGAGGAGATACTCTCTTAATGAGATATACGTGAGTGACGTCTTTCTCCAAATTGATTGCTTTTTATACTTTGGATAAAATTTGGAAAGAACTCAACCGAAGTAGCTTCCTCTCATGAATGAATCACTTAATGAAGATGATTGTCTTAGCTCAGGATAAATCAAGAAATTTATTAATTTTTTCAGTCACGCTTTTGTATATTGTTAAGTGCATGGACTTTCTTTTATCTCATTGTTTGGGATAGAAAAAGTAAGTGGAGATCCTAGCTGTAAGAGGAAAGAATTTAGGAAAATGGTGTCAGTTCTCTATCGACTCTTATTATAGAAAAGTTAAAAAGAGACAGTAACAACCTAACTAAATAGAAGAACACTCTTATCTTGTAAAGCAAAGCCTAATAAGCAAATAATTGTAGAGGGTTATATAGATAAAGTTGATCTAAATGCTGAAGTGGGTGTCAAAGGATCTTCTTTAACAAATCATGTAGGGTTATTTGTTTTAGCGCTTTCCCTTTTTACCCCCAAGTTTTCAAGTACAGAAGAACGAGAAGCGCAAGCTATCATGTAAGAACTAAGGTGAAACAAAATGTGGCATACATTGTTGATTTTTAATTTTAGGTTGCATATTCCATCTTGTGGAAGGATTTATCACTTATTAAGTTCCCCCTCAATTTCACAGCTAAGAGATGGCTTTGTTTTTTCCCCAAATGGAATAGTTGGGAAACAGGTTAAGAGTATGCTGTTTGCAATTCTTACGTTCGTACGCTTCTTTATGATTATGAATTTTGGTTCAACCTTAGACTTTCACGGAAAGTCATGACCATCCTAACTGTCAACTGTGTCAGAAGTACCATCATATTGTCCATTGTCTTTTCTAATCCAATAATAAAAGGGAGCAAAGAAAGAGCAAATAAACTTCTTTTGCATCTAAACCAACTAAATTTACAATATTTTTTTAATGAAATAATTTCTTGTTGCTTATCTAAAAGTTATAGCCCAATTCATACAAATCACCATGCTATATTTTTATGGTGTTTACTTAGTTCTATGAGTTAGTCTTTAGTTCTGGATTTTCAGTCTCCTTCATTGCCCATTATATATGGAGGTTCATCTTTCACGTATTAATCAAGATTCAAGATTATCTGCTTCACACCATTCCTATTTCACCATATCCAAACATAGGAAATCTAGTCTAATATATCTAATATATAAAGGAAATACTAAGGTTGCAAAAAATTGGAGGAATGGAGGACACATTGCCTTTATAGTTATACCAAAGGGTATAACTATTTTTACACTAATTAAAAAGTTGAAGCAAATGGAAAGGCAAAAAAGGTCTATATCTTTTTCATATTTAATTTTATTTATATTCTCTCCACCCTCCCATCTACATTCTGTCCCTCTCCCCATCCCTTCTCACATTCAACTTTCAATTTCATATATTTTTTTTAAAACTGCTTTAACTGTGAAGTTTAAACAAATAAGTTCCTCAAAAGTTTTATTTGGGTCATCTATCAATTTTAGTGCTAAAATACATTAAGATATTAAGCTTATGCATCAAATTATATAAATAAACAATGTTTATCCTTAAATTCTTATGGAATAATTTAAGCTATGTATGATGTATCTATGTGTAAACTATATCTTACAGATAGTTAACATCTGCAGAATTGGGTGGGCAAATCCTCTCACTTCTACATATGTAATGTAAGAGTATCCATGCTAGGCGTTTTGTTAAATTCTTCTGGTATAAAAGAAATTTATAGAAGTTATTATTTAAGGGATGTAATACAATCCATGTTCCTTGCTAGCTGTTAGATTCATTCTGGTATGAAAGAAATATATGTAGACGATAATAAGTGACGTAATAGAATCCATCTTCCTTGCTAAAGCCACAACTTGAGAAAAAAAATAGAGATATATAGGATGAAAAGGTAGTTACTTGTGTTTAATTTTACTTCATAACCACATCTAAACATTTGTCTTTGGTAAAACTCCATAGGAAAAATAAAATTCCATGTGAAATTGAATGTTTTCTGCACGTGCATCCCACGTGAAAGGTGTTGGGATATATGTAAAAAAAAGTAATTAAAATTATGATTTTTTAAACTTTCTTACCCTTTATATTCCTAGATACTTTGAGGTTTGCTACACACTATTCATTGTTCCTCAAAGAAAAATATTTGTGGATGCTATCTTTATTTTCATCAAGTTGACTTTGTTTTCCAGTATACAAGATGAAACAAATGCATTTCTAGGATGTGCATTTTCTGCAGTTCAGATCTATGATTGCTTAGTCTCCATGCTTTCTGTAGACATACACAGGAAGCATCTTGATTGCAGTCAATCCGTTCACAAATATTCCTCATCTTTATAATGGGCATATGATGGAGCAGTACAAGAATGCCCAATTTGGAGAATTAAGTCCACATGTTTTTGCTATAGCTGATGCATCGTACAGGTCTTGTTCCATATACAACCTAAATGTCAATGTTTTATGATAGATTGCTCTTATAAGAATTGAACTTAAGTCTTTTTTTTTTAGGGCTATGATGAAGGAGGCCCGCAGCCAGTCTATATTGGTAAGTGGGGAAAGTGGGGCAGGGAAAACAGAGACAACAAAACTCATAATGCGATACCTGACATTTGTTGGTGGGAGGGCTGCTGGTGATAGCCGTTCAGTAGAGCAGCAAATTTTGGAAGTAAGTGGTGGAAGTGGAACATACTGAATATTTTGTGATCTGCAGCTTCACTAGTATATCTGTATGATCTCTTTGCCACTTTTACTCCTATCCTTTTTGAAAATCTTCCTCCACTTGTTTGTGTTATTTTGCAGTCAAATCCACTTCTAGAGGCGTTTGGTAATGCAAGAACAGTTAGAAATAATAACTCAAGGTTTGCTTTTTTATTTGTGCCCAATGGACTTATCTCTTTTCTTTTAGAATTGTTTATAAAGATACTTTTTCTTTGTATGTGGTACTTTGATTACTGTTTTTTTTTAAAACTAAAGATAGATGTTCTTGCTTCCGTTTTTAAAAAAAAACTAAAGATAGATGTTCTTGCTTCCATAAACCCAAATACGCCTATTATATGTATCTCCTCAACATCGATTATCATGACTTAATCACGGCAAACTACTTCCTACTTTCACCTTAGCAACTTTATATTCTAAAGTATTTAAAATACACCCTTTTTTTTCACTCCAATACCTTATGGCATTAACGATTATTGCACAGATATCTGTTTGTGCCCCTTGTATTGATGCATTACTGTTTCATATCAACTCATCTTCACTTCGGAGGTTGCCCCGTATCCACAAAGGACGCGTTCCATCATCTCAACCTCCACCTATAGCTCTTCGGCTTTATCAGCTCAAACAACTTACTCTTATCCAATGTTTTAAATGTCGGCCGACATGTCCGACATGTCGGTCGACATATCAGTTTGAGGGCTTGATCGACACGACATGGACGTTTTCAACTCGTATGTCGGTTTTTAGGGCCAAATCGGAAATATCAGGGTCATATCGGGCATATCAGCCTATTTTTTAGCTTTGAAAAATCGACCGATATGGTACTTTTATTTAAAATCTGTTTTTTATTATCGGGTTTGAGTTTAGCGATAAATACCCAAACCCGTTTGACCCGTTCGCATGTTTAAAGGTTTCTTATGAACCCGATAGAAAGAATTTATGAACCCAAATCCATATATTATTTACTTATAAATATGTTTAGTCTATAGAATTTATAAAGTATGCTTATATTGAATTTATGAATGCTTAGATTACATTTAGGACATGATATTATACATATGCGCACTACCCGATATGACAATCCGATATTTAGTCAATGTCCTCCGATATATCCCCGATTTCCGCTATCTGACATGGATTTCAGCCATCCGACATGAACCCGACATCCGACATTTAAAACCTTGCTCTTATCACTATCAGAATCATTTCACAAGTGTTTTTGATTGAATTTTAGCTGATATCCCGCAATATCTCGCACATGCGCACACAATTTGTTGATTTTGGGTGTACAATATTATGTCGTTTATGTATGTAATGTACTTTATTGTTTTATCTCATTATTTTCTTGCACGTCCTTGTATTTGCGTAGTTTCATAAATAAGTTACCAGATGCAACCCCCTTCGATCTTTATCTTTATTTATTTATTCCTTATAAAGAACTGCTTTCCTCTTTTCAAAAAAAACCCTTTCTTTATGCGTGAGAATTTTCGAGCCTTCTTCCTTGTTACAAGATCAGACTGCAAAATGATTGAGCTACAACATTCTACCTGCTAGACAGCCATTTAGGAATTATTGCATGCCTCTTTTGCATTGTTTCTGTGGGCATATGTTTGGAATTTTAGAACGCTGATGTGAGATTGACACTTTGTTGTAGAATTTATCATGTCTTTTATGAAACCTTCAACTTTGTGCTCTGTGACCAATACCATTAGTGTGAATAGGCTTGCATGTAATGAAATGTACATATATAAATCTACGTAATCTAGATTTTTTTGGCCATGTCCACTTACATTTTTAAGGATTCCATGTTAGTGTCATGCATGCTATATCTTTATGTGGTGATATTAAGATGGCTACGTACATGATAGAGATATCTTTGCGTGCTAGATACTTTAGTAGGAGTCTGACATGATCCATGAAGGACTCACCGACCTAAAATTATACAGATCTTGCAATTTGTAAACATCATTAGTTACATGTATATGTTTCAAATATATCTAATCTGCAGTCTTTGTATGCCATGTAAATATTTTTTATACATTTGTTTTGTTATATAAGCTGTATTAAGTCTAGAATATTTCATCTTCTTACCTTTCCATTTGAACATTTATGTTGAAAGAATACTAGGATTACTCTTTCTACTTAACCATTATGGGAAAGTTTTTTCTTGCAAGTCTATGTTTAGCTGAAAAAGGAAAGTAGATCATATCTTCACATTTGTGGTGTCAAAGAAATGTTGTAAATTATATGTATCAAGGTCTTATTCAAGCAAGTGCAATAAAAATAATCCAGAAACTGTTATATTCAGTACATATTTTAAACTTTCAAGTAGGACATGTCTTCACAATAAGTTGTACATGTATAGCTCCTTAAGAGTTAAAGTAACTTCCACTAAGCATGGCACTGAATTTCGAAGTTAGGTTTAGTGTTGAAATATTTGTTTTACTCAACTCTCCCTTGCAAGTTAATGCTCTATTTATTTTTTAAACCATGGCTTTTTCATAGAATTCTTTAAATTGCACTTTACATGTGCTTGTTTATCTGGGTTTTAAACATGGATGTCTTTGATGCCATCTTCAAATCCTTGCTAATTAACAATACTCCAAACTCAATGCTGCTGAAGTGAAGGCATTCAACATCAGAGACTGCAGACATGACAAAAGCTTACAGGTGATTTGACATGGTATGATAGAACTACAACAACCTATTCCCATTGACCAAGGATGGACATCTTCTATACCAAAGGGTGTCAAAAAAGTGTTACAAAACTTATGAAGCCCTAAACACTGAATACCAAAATTCAAGATTTTTTAGTGGCGTATAAAACTCAAAATAAACTTATGAAGCGCTAAACACTGAATACCAAAATTCAAGATTTTTCAGTGGCATATAAAACTCAAAATAAATCACCAAGAGTCACCAAAATGTCCATAGAATTTTTTTTGAGGTCCATAAAAACTCAGTCTTGGCTTTTATAAGACACAAGACTATCATGGTGCAGCTAAAAGCAGTAAAAGCAGATGGTCGATTGGTCAACTGGTTTGGATATCCTGTTTTAGCACCAATTTTTACTACCTGAGCATTGCAGTATCTTGGTTGAAATCATTTTGTTCTGAGTAATGCTTGTATGATTGACCAGTGGACCAGTTAATCGTCCATCCAATAGGAAAACCACTGACTCTGCAATGTGCGGGTGCAATGTGCGGGTACCTTCTGTTTCCCGGTCGTCAATGTAATTTGACTCTGAACATCCAGCCTATTTGTAGCTGTTCCCACAATCCTTCTGATACAACAAACCAATGTCTGATGTCTACTACCTAAGTATCCACATTGCCGCTTTCCAGTGCTCCTTCCCACTTATTGTCATGTACTGACTGTTTATATGCTAAAATTTATCTCATGCAGTCAAAACCTATTGATGGGATGACCAACTACAACTAGTCACCCTTTTTGGCCATCTGTTTTAACAACCACTAGTTCCAGTCCACCAGTTTACTGTCTCTGGTTGAGTCTGCTTGTTCTGGTTTATGTTAGGTGATTGACCAATCACTAGTTGCATCCGTTAAATTTAAGACATAAGAATATTTACACCAACTAAACTAATACGCATATATTTTAATACTTAAAGACTATTCTCATTCTATCTTGTATTATCTTTCTTTAGTTGGGCATATATTTTAATAATAAAAAACTATTCGTTCTATCTTCTATTATCTTTTTTTAGTCGAGGCAAAAATCCAAAAAGGTTTTGGAGAATCGGTAATTTGGCATATATTTTAATACGTAAAAATTGTTATCTTTTTTAGTTGCACCCCTCCTTTTTTAACTCCGCTCGTGCTGTTTGTCACTGCCTGTCCCAAGCCAGGATAAAGGAGGGTTGTGTTAGGTAGCCATAGCTAACATAAAGCATAGTCGGATCCACATGTAAAACGAATCCTATTATATTCTCGTTGGGGCGTCCCCACCACGACATGTTGCATCGATCCCACCCCAATGCAGTGATAAGTAAAGCAAGGGTGGTTTGCTAGGCGTCCCCCAGAAGCGACACATTACATCGATGTCACCCCGGTGTAATGACAAATAAGCAAGGGTGTTCTAAGAATCTACAATCCTCTAACAAGGTACCTAATAGTATTAGGCATAGAATAGAACTGTCCAATGTTACATTAAACGCTGGGCGTTTCTAGGCGTCGGACTTGGCGCTCAACGCTTAGTCGCCTAGGCGGGCGTCTAAGCGGTTTCTGGGCGTTTTTTTCTTTCTTCATTTAAGTGGTGGTTGATGAGGTTTTGCTGAAGGTCGGAGGAGGTAGTGGAGGTGTTCATATTTGGAGGTTAATGGAGTTTGGAGGACGTGTAGGCTACGACACATAAAATCACAATCAAGGCCTACAGGGTGCAATCCATGTAAGCAGACAATGCTCACCTAAACCCTCGTAATATCTAGGTGGGCAGCCTAAATACCGTCTAGGCGTTAGGCGCTAGATAGGCGACCTAGGTACCGTCTAGACCTAGGCGTACGTCTAAACGGACTAGGCGGAGGTTTTTTAAAACAGTGGAACTGTCTAAGACGGAAAATGGTAGGAGACTTTACAAGATAATAGAATTAGATTAGCTACTTGGAATATAAGTACACTTACCGAAAAGACAATGGAATTAGTGGATATCATGATTACAAGAAAGATAAATATAATTTGTTTATAAGAAACTAAATGGATAGGTGAAAATCTAGAGAAATTGAAAAGACCGGATATAAACTTTGGTACACGGGAAAAGAGAAGAATAGGAATGGAGTGGGAGTTCTTGTAGGAAAAGACCGGATATAAACTTTGGTACACGGGAAAAGAGAAGAATAGGAATGGAGTGGGAGTTCTTGTAGATAATATAAAACTTTGGTACACGGGAAAAGAGAAGAATAGGAATGGAGTGGGAGTTCTTGTAGATAATATAATAAAAGAAAGTGTTGTAGATGTAAGAAGAGTTGGAGATAGAATAATCTAATAAAAGTTTTTTTTGGTGTAGAGGTTATTAATATTATTAGTACTTACGCACCACAAATAGGCTTGCCCGAGAGTACTAAAAGGGAATTTTAGGATAAATTAGATGAAAAATGAGTGTAGTAGAAATGAGAATGTTGCGATGGTCTTGTGAGTATACATTAAAAGATAGGATAAAAAATGAGTGCATCTGTAGTAAATTGGAGGTTGCGTCTATTGAGGATAAAATGAGATATAATAGATTAAGATAGTTTGGTTATGTACAAAAAAGACCTCTTAGTGTACTGATTAGGAAAAGTGATAATGTTAGAGTTAATAGGGCTAGGAGATCTAGAGGTTGACCTAGAATGACTTGGTCAGAAACAATTAAGAAGGATATGGTTAAGACTAACGTAACGGAGGAAATGACCCGCAACAAAATGGAATGGAAAAATAGGATTCGTGTAGCCGACCCCAAATATTTGGAATAAAGGCTTGGTTGTTGTTGTTGTTGTTGTTGTTTAGGTAACAGTATATTCTAGCAAAACATTGGCCGTCAGACATTTCAACTCAAACTTTCAAAACTTGGGATACTCCACTATCTGTCTTTCTTCACTATTGTCATGTAAATATGTAAATATTGCTTTTAACCTTTTCTTGGAATTATCCCTATACATGTCAGGGTTCATTAGTGTCTTGCATCTTCAAAGAATTGTCTATATCTATTGCTTCAAACTTCGTTTTGATATGGACATTCCTTACTGCTTCTATTCTGCAGTCGTTTTGGTAAGTTTGTTGAGCTTCAGTTTGACGGAAGAGGTCAGATATCTGGTGCGGCAATTCGAACATATCTTTTGGAGAGATCACGTGTTGTGAAGATTACAAATCCTGAAAGAAATTACCATGTTTTCTATCAGCTATGTGCTTCAGGAAAGGTATATGTTGAATATTAGCTGGTCAATATTGAAACTGTTATTTTTTTTCAGATTATTTTTTATTTATTGCACTGAAATCTGTTTTTTGAAGTTTGTTTGTATTCATAGCTCATAAACATTTATGCTTTGTTAGTCTGATAATCTTATGTTCCACTTTTTCCAAGCGTAATTTGTTCTATTCATAGTCATGATCTTCACTGTCATCAGTGGTAACCTTATCCCTGCAAATGGGTTGGCAATGGATCTAGAATAGAATGTTCAGTTGTGATTTTAATACTACTGAATCCTAATTAACTTCTGTATTGTAAGTGCTGTTTGTGTTGTTTGATCGTTTTTGTTATGCTATTAGATAAATGTTGTTTTAACTGCAAAAAATGACTTTTGCAGCAATTAGCTTTTGTTCCTTCTACTAAAAATCGTGCTCTTATGACCTATTGAAAACTTAAATACAGATTCTGTAAAAGTTTAATGCTGATGTTTCTTTTTTCTTTAACCCAAAAATCTGCTTTTAAACCTAATTCTAAGCATGAACTATTCAGGTTCTGGCTATTATATTAATCTACTAGTAGAGATAGAATACTTAGCATCCATTTAACTTTAGGTTAAGCGCCCAAATCCCTAAAGGACGGTTGGATGAAGAGTTATTTCTCTTTATTGCTATAGTGATTTTGTTAATTCAAAAAGAACTATTCTCAGTTTATTCCAACGACAAAAGCAAAGTGATTATTTCATAATTTTCTGAAAAAAATTAGATTTACAATTTTCTTGAAACTTTAGCCAGCTATTTTGAAATCCTAGAACATAATATATACTACATATGTTAGTGTATTTATTTTATTAGGGCTCGTTAAACACTCTATCATAGGAGCTTTCAAGGTTTGAAATCTTAGTATTGGTATTAACAAAATAAATTGTAGTATCAGTTTTGGAAGTTTTGAGAGTTTCAGCAATTTTGGACCAGAAGGACCAATGCAGGCACCGAAAGTTTTGCTGGTTTGGATGATTCACAAGCTTTCTGCATTCTTTTTCTTAATAAAATTTTCCTATATAGCAATATCAAATAATTTTTATTTCAAAACTGATATGGCCATTTGTGTTGACCGGCTAACATCAACTTGTGTGAGTTGTTATCAGTCAATATCAACAATATCAGTTGGTTTCATTTGGATTATATCAGCATGCTTAAGATACGGTACACTATAGTTGATATGTATTGTTATCGGTCAAACTTTAAACATTGGTTGCGGGCAGATTAAGTTAAGATTTTGGCCTTCCATGTTGTATTGCTATCCAGGATGCAGAGAGGTACGGGCTTGGGACTCCTGGAAACTTCTATTATTTAAATCAAAGCAAGATGTATGAGTTAGATGGAGTAAGCAGTGCAGAAGAATATATGCGGACACGGAGAGCAATGGATGTTGTCGGAATAAGTACTGTAAAACAGGTTACTTCAATAGTTCTATAATACTGAAATTCCTTTTAGGATAGCTGTTTTACTTTGTACAGACAAGACATCTGATATCTGATGTTTACACTTTATTTCTATATTTTCCAAGGAAGCTGTATTTCGTACTTTGGCTGCGATTCTTCATCTTGGGAATATTGAATTTTCTCCTGGAAGTGAGCATGACTCATCAGTTATAAAAAATGAAAAATCTAGCTATCACCTTCAGATGGCTGCTAATTTGTTTATGTATGTCCTTTTCTCATTGTATATTTCATTTTTATATTTTTATATTTCCAGTTCTCATTGGAAAATTCAATTTTATATCTTTATAGTGTCAATGATAATGATTATTATCCATAGATAAAATTTTGTAATGCTATCATATAAAACTGTTCCCATTTTCATCCAGCTTATGGTAATAAACAATGGCCTCTGCTAGAGTTCTCCTGATTCGATAAAAATTAAACTTCTGTTTATAGAAGTCTAAGATATTGATGCCATACAAGTATTTTGGAGAACAATAGTAATAGAATATTTTAACATACGAATTGAATGTACATATTTCATGGAACCATCTTTATAGCATATACATGAGAACCCAAATTGTTGATTACAATGTATATTCTTTAGCAGTATACTTTGGCAGCGTTATATTTTGTGACCACTCGATAATAGTCAAGAAATCAGAATCTTTTAGAGTGCTGTCTTTGACATTCTCAATGTTTCCAATCAAGACAAATGGAGTTGGTTTACAGTTTTGCGAGTTTCATCAATGGATTTGAATAGGGAAGATCTGCTTCCTAAATTTTCTAAGACTAGCAAAGTTTAACTCTATGCGTACATGTGCATATTTGCGTGCGCGCGTGCATCTTTGTAAGCATGTGCTTGTGCATGGGTGTGAGGGTGAGCGTGAGCGGGCA